ATGGACACGTGTGCTAATTGAATGACATATCTAAGAACTATAATTAAATTGATGAAAACATTAAACACATTCTTTAAATTCTGAATATGATGTTTTTATAAGGAAAAAGCAATACTGTGAGGGTTATTTTCTAAGCAATAATATTTTATAATTACCAAGGTCTTGTGCCAAGTGATTTTTTTGGGGTTATTTTCAAGGAAGAAGTGTGTGTGGTGTATGTAAATTTTTTTTCAGGAAAAAAATTACTCCTCTTTAAAATTAGTGTCATCTTTAATAATCGTGACTCACATTCTTATAAGTTACTGTTACAAAGACCACGGTTAAATCCGTTTCAAAATTAGTGTTATCTTTAGTAATCGACACTCCTATATATATATATATATAGATATATATATATATATATATATTGTTTTAGTAATGATTTTCTGAAATGATTTGATGAGTTGTTATAATAACAATCCAAAAAATAAAAGAAAAAAAACATGGGAGTTCAGTTGTTCGATGCTCAAAGAAAATGAGAAATTGAGTGTTTCAAGCTTTTTCTATGATTCCCAATACCATTCTGAAACGGGTTTTTGAAATTTTGGAGTGAGAGACGAAGATGATCCACAGATCTTATTCTCAATGTTTGCGACTGTAAATGGTATAGAGGAGATGAACATGAAGACTAGACCATGAATCAAAGACAGTACTCGAAAGGTAAACATAGGCACTGCTTTTTTTATCTTTTATTTCCTGCATTCCAATTATTCAATCGATATAAAGCTGCAGAAAAAAAAAAAAAAAAATGTGTGGTCTTTGATACTGTGATTTACTTATTGATGTTCTTAATTTTGTAGTTGTTGTGTCAAGTGTTTTGCATGAAAAACTTCAATTAATGCAGAGTCATAAAATATAGTGGTGGACCACATCTTTAACTATTGAGAAGTGAGAACTTGTCTCCTTTCACAACAAATTAAAATCCCTTCTTTTTTATTTTTGGTTTTGTGTTTGTTTTTAGATCTTGTTAAATAACTCTGCCCATCAACTGTTTGATTAAATGCCTCAGCTAAACTGTTGTTTCTAAGTATGTCAGCCAAACACCCATAAATGGGAGGGGCATTTTTATGTTGAATTAAACGTAAGCCTTAACAAAAAGGGTGTAATTGAATTATGGGTGTCACAAACTTGATATGAAATGATAAGTTTTAAATTCTCATACTTTTTTTATATCTGATAACTAGTTCATGAATTACACACCTAGAATCATTTACGTGATGCTCTTATTTCCTTGTACGCAATCCGTGACAGCTGTAATTTATCAAAGGGATGGCCAAAATCTCTACATACATTAATATCTTTGTGTATGAGAAAATGCTTTTGGTACATTTTGATTCTTTTGATAAAGATGGTACCATTTGAGATCATTTCTTTTTTTCTCCTTTAGGTGTTAATGTGTGTGGTGGAACTCTGGTTGTCAATCCATCCTATTGTGGCCTACTGCAATGTGTAAATATTGTTCTCTTTTTTGATTTTTTGTGATACTAATAATACTGACCACCCCTCCTTTTATCTTCAATATATAATTTTGCTGCTGTGTTATATTTTTCCACTATTAATGTCATTAGTCCTTGTGCCCATTAGAGAAGTTGAGAATCAAAAAATGGGACATAAAAGCAAAGATTCAGAGAAGGGGGAGCTGACTAGGGTAAAATTTGTTTATTTTCCAATTAAACTCCTTATGCCATTCTTATTTGCCTCAAATATATATATATATATATATATATATATATATATATATATATATATATATTTGAGGCAAATAAGAATGGCATAAGGAGTTTAATTGGAAAATAAACAAATTTTAATATCTAGCTGCACAGAACCTAACTCCCCTCCCTGCAAAATTCAGACCCTTAGCAGGGCTCGGAACTTCCCTATTGCTTATCGGGTGGGATAGACCGGAGATACATGTTGAAATCTTAATGTATGTTGTTGTGGTTTCAGTTCACCATATATTGAATAGTTCAGCATCATGAAGTAAATTGGATTTGTTTTATAGCTTAGTTAGTGAATATCCCAATGTTCCTAACAAGCAAAGCTGTTTTACACATATGTATGGTTAAGAATGAGAGTGGGCATTGGTGCAAGGTTGCTCATTACGACCTAGAGGTCTTGGACGTGGAGATATGATTGCTTCAAACCCGTAGCAAGGGAGCCTTGTCCATTGGGTTAGCCCTATACGCATAATTAAGAATAGACATGCACAGACCTATTCAAGGTCCAGTGGGGGCAATTGTTCCCACTTATTTTTTTTGGTTGCTATTATATACCTACAATTTTTTTTGCTTTGAATTATGTACCTATAAAATTTTAAAATTGTCCCCACTAAAATTATAAATAAACCTTACTATTGCCCCCACCTCAAGGTTTGAATTTTTTTTTTTAATCTTGTTATTGTTAAAGGCCGCCTCCTCGCACATAATTATTTAGGTCCATCCCTGGGAATAAATATATATTTTTAAGAAGGATACTTCTGAACCTGTTGAAAATAATAATAATAATAATAAAAACTAAAACTAATCAAATCTAAGAAAGAAAATAACAATAACATTATGGGAGATTTACATGAATGTATCAATTATTTAATCATTTTAGTTGATGTTAGCATTTGGAATATGAAAGTATTTAAGGTTCAGTTACGAATACTAGGCTTCTCTCCATCATGGCATGGAAGGGGGAAGTTGGTGTGGAAGCTTTGTTTTGTTCAATGGTGTTTGTTATGGAGAATCTTGTCGTAGTAACAAGAAAAAGTACTACTTTTAAATCTGAAAAATAATATAATCATTCGATATAAGTTTTAGACTCTATTTGGTTAAAGCACCAAATACAGATTTCCTTTCATGTCATTATAAATACATAATTATAATTCCTAACTTTCTTTGTGTCTTATTTACCGGTTTACACGTAATATCTTACAAGCTGTGTTTTGGTATGGGCTGGTTGTCCATTTTAGAATCTATCCTATAATCTATGATCTCTGTACCCTTCAGCATACCCAAGGGCACTTGTTCTAGTGAAGCGGGCATGAAGAGCTCTCATGCCACCCTCAACTTTGCCAATGATGTTCAGCAAAGAAGAGCGTTCATTTGAGAATTTCTCTTTTGAGTTTGCATGGGTCAACTGTTCAGCAATAAGTGTACGCTGAAGGTCACCTTTCTTAGTCTTCATCAAATTCCTTTCAGTAAGGGCAACATTTTTCTCAGTCTTCAGGACATCAACTTTATCTTGAAGGGAGTCTCGTTCGGCTTTAAGGGCCTCTTGTTCAGCCTTCAGAGCATCCTTCTCAGTTGCCAGATCATCCCTCTCAGTTATCAAAGAATCCCTTTCAGCTATCAGAGTAGCCGTTGCCTTCTCAGATTCATTCAGCTTAACCAGGAGCTCAGAGTTCTTGGCCTCAAGCAAGTTCTCTAATTCAACAGATCTCTTAAGGCTAGCAGAGAGGGACTTAAGCTTCTTGTTCAGAGCTTCAATGCTCTTCTGAAAAGTAAACATCCCAAATAGAGT